AGGAACCTAGATTCCCTACTTTTTGTCAAAAAAAATAGAAGACCAGAGCAAAAAAGCTTGCGATATATTGTTGTTTTCTAAGTTCTAAAGGAATGTGTAGACAAAATAATTTATTGTTCTCCTACTTCTTAAGTCTTCTTTTACTAACTTCGTTAACAAAGAGCTTTTTTTTTGTCTCTTTACTAAAATTTTTTATACAAAGGCTCCACCTGCTAGTTATCTTGCATAATATCACTTTTAGCTTGCATGTTAAATATATAGAGGAGTCCCCGAAGCAGTGGTTGACCTCTATAAAAACCATTGTATTGTAAAAGAACCTTCTTCTTCATTTTTTCCAATAAATTTTTGTTTTTGGCTTTTCCAAATTTTTGGAAAAAAGGATCATCAGAAAGAGTTGTTATGATAAAGTATGAACCTATTTTATTAGTAATTTTTAGCTTTTTATTATTACTAATATTTTGCTAATATATTGCAAATATTAGTATTTTATTATTATAATAATTAGTAAATATTTTTTAATACTAAAATAATAGTAACAAAGTGCTTAAAAAGTACAAAATTTGGCAAAAATTAGTACTTTATCAGCACTTTTAAAAAGCTAATTTTTAGCAATTCAAATTTTGAGAATTTTTGTAAAGATACTACATATAAAGTTTAAATCAAAGTAGGAAAACTTGCTAACAAGATAAAAACCTAATAAGCTAAAAAGAAAAACTACAAAACAAAAACAAAAGAAAGAAAAAGAAATAAAAAGTGTCTTATAAGAATCATAATCTAAACATACAATCCTGTTCAAGACTGAGTAGTTAAAAATTATAAATACAAAATGCACTTATTTGCAAATATCTCTAATATATGATAATGATTTAGTTATTTCATTAAACATGTAATGGCTTATTATTATTGCAGTAAACTCATAGTTTATATTGCAAAATAAAATTATATGTTTGTTGTGCTAACTCTTAAATATATATGTGTTTGTTGTTGTCACACCATAAGTCTACTTCTAAATTCATCAATAATATGCATGCTGATCTTTAGTAGAGGGTAAGCTCTATTCTCCACTTTTTGTACAAAAAATATTCCAAGTTTGCTAAATAGTCAAAACTATTCTCAAGACTAACCAAAGGTTTAAAAGTGAGAGTAAGGATATCTAAAATAAATTTGAAAAGTATAAGGAGTGGTATTATACTCAATTCTATCCAAGAATTTTCTTTAACTTTTATATCCAAGAGCTTATTTCTAACAATAAAGTATATAAAATATATATAAGATATATAATATATATAATATATAAAAGCACTAATAATTTATAAATAGCTCATAGTCTACTCTTTAATGAAAGAACATATTTTATTAAACTTCTAGTTTTTCCAGTCTCACTCATATATATTATGTTAGAAAATAGAGTATTATTATATGTATAAAAGTTTTTTCTTTTTATCATCATTTTGGTTTTAGAGATCATCAGGAAGAGTTAATGATATATATCCTGAATTATGATATGTTTGAGATATATTTATTAGATTTTGAGTAGAAGTAAATCTGTTAGTTTTTGTAAGTATTTGAGAAATGAGTTGAGTGTTTTATTTTTGCTAAGTATAAGAAGATTGTTTATTAGTAAGAAGTTGTTAAAACAGGTATTTTCTTCAGTATAAGATAATATATTGGTGACTGAAAAGAAGAGTGAATTTTATGTAAAATTACTCACTGAATACTTAGTTTTTACAGTTGTACAAGAGTCTAAAGTCTACTCTAAATATTGGGTCTAGCTATCATAAATTAGTCTTCTATATAAATAGACTTATTTACTTGTCTACTTATTACATTCTCTTCTAGAAATAGCTCATAATAAGTTGAGAATATCATTATTCTAGAAGTAGTAGTTGTATTAATATTGTCTACAGAAAAGTTTATTGAAAAGGATTATGAGATGATATTGAACTGATATTAGAATTGAGTTTGTTAGCATAGATTTGTTTAGTATTTTTATTTTTAGTTAGAGATAAAGATAGTATATTAAATAAGATATCATTATTAATAGTAATAGTATTAAATTATATATTATATTTTTTAAAGATAATTTTTTTTGCTTAAAAATAGAATTTGTCTCTATACTTAGCAAAAATTTGTATAATAGAGAATTTTAGTTGTTAAAGTAAATAGAAGTATATTAGTATTCTAGCAAGATAATATGTATTTGTAGGTTTAGAAGTAATTTTTTAGATTGCTTGATGATTGTTAAGAATAGAAATTACTTTGTTAATAGCTACAGCTATAAGGAAGGCTTTGAGATAGATGTAAAAGTAGTAAGTACATCTTTTAATACTAGTTGTAGTATTGTTTTGTTTGATGAATTTTGGTTTAGCTGAGTTTGCAAGTTTACAGAATAAAGTAATTAGTGTAGAAATTTGAAATAATACTTTATTTAGTTTGTCTTTTTAAAATTATAAATAGTTGAGTTCAGGATGTATCTATTTAATTCTGTTCTTAGAAGAGTCAAAAGATAGAGTTGCTGAGAATTTAGTAAAAGATTGGTTAAAGAAGGAGATTGAAATATTTTTAAAAGTATATTCTGTATTAGTAGGTAGAATAGTATAATCTGTGTCAGTATAGTTATAAATATAGAAAAGTGTAGCTTTGATATATAAAATTATACATTCACAGAGAGATTTAATTGAAGTTATTTTGAAGTCATTTGAAAAAAGTTTTTTGCAGTCTTTTGTAAAATTAAGTATGATTTTGTATTTGATACAGTTGTAGATTTTTGTTTGATCGATTGTTAGAAATTAGTATTTGTAAATTTTAAAGAAGGTTTTAAACTATTTGTCAAGATTTTTTTTGTATTTTTTTAGTAAAGAGATTCTAAAGGTTTCTGTAAATTGTTGTTTAAGAATAATGAGCAAAATATTAATATTAAATTTATTATCATGTTGTATTTGAAAGAGAGGTTAGTAGATTTTGTTTTCAGAGATAAAGTAGTACATTTGGAATCTTTTTGGTTTAATGTTTAGATCTTCAAAAAATCTGTTAATATAGATAGTTTTGTAGTCATTATGGAGAAAGAAATAGATTCTAACAAGGTTAATAGCAAATAAGTTACAGTTTTAAATTATGTAAGGAGAAATTGTATTGAAGAAAGATAAGATTTTTTGATAGTTGAGTTTAGTGAAGAGAATTGTTGTAAATTTGAATAATAAGAATTTGAAGATTGAGTGGATAATATCAAATAAAATAGTAGTAGCTTTGTTGATATTTGGGTTTGCATTAAAAATTAAGTTTATAAGAAAGTTAGAGCATTGTCTTGCTATTGACTTGATAAGGTATTTAAAATTACTTTTAGAAGCAAATATATTTCTAGATACAAGTTTAAGGATTTTACTATAAGTGAAGTTAATAAGGTTAGGTTTAAGAAAATTAAATAGTTTAATTGAGACTTGTATATTAAGATAAATATATTGTTCTATTTTCACTGTAATAAGAAAGATTTTAAACCAATTCAGATCATTTGTTGTATTTCTTTTAGAAAAAGGTTTTTAGTGAGTTTAGAAAAAATAAATTTGAATAAATCTTTTTTGTTTAGATATTATGAGGCTGAATTTGATAAAGTAATAAGTATTTTGTTGAGTTAATATTAAGGGTTTGGTTTAAAAATGAGGTTTGATTTGAATGTTATTAATATATTCTAAATAAATTAAGAAGCTTTTAAGTATTGTTTCTGCTTGAAAAGAGTGTTTTTCATTTGAAAGAAAGATATAGTAAATATTTTTTTTATAGTAAACCAAGTATATATAAACATAATAGAAGTAAGCTATAATAGGAATTTGTTGATTAGAGAGATTTAAATTTGTAGAGGATATTGCAGAGTTGATAGTATTATAGATAAATAGAAAATGAGAGAATAAAGATATATTTTGTTTGATTAGTAATCTAAGGATTTGTTTCTAAAGTTTTTGGTATTATTTTAAGTAATATCTATGAATATAGAAGTATTAGGATTTGGTATCAGAGTACTAGGTCTAGAGATTTCTAAAGTGTGATGTTTGAATATAAAGAAAGTATAGTATTTGTTGTAGGAGCAGTTAGTTAAAGAGGGTTAAGTTAGTATATAGAAGTAGTAGAGTTGTTTAGCAGATATATATTGAGTAGAGTTAACAGTAAATAAGATTAATTTGAGTTGTATGATATTTGGTTCTCGAGTAACTACTTCAAATCTGTTACTATATTTAGATAGGAAGTAGTTTAAGTTAAAAGAGTTAGGTTTATATTAGATAAGAGAAGACATATTTAGAAATAGTAATTTGTTTTAAAATTTAATGAATAATAGTTTATATTATTTAATATTATTGTATTTAAGATGAGCAGAAAGAGAGCTTCACAAAAAGATATAATATAATTTGTATAAAATAATACTAGCATATAATCTACAAGATAGCTAGTATGGCTTATAGCTAGTATGGCTAGTATAGTATAAAGCTTAGTATATATCACTAAGCTATAAATAGTAGAATTTTATAGTTATATTGTACTAATTAGAAATTAATACAATATATAAATAATTAATTTGTATTTAATTAATAAGAATTTAAAAAGAAAATTTTAATAATTAGTACTATTTTTGAGTAAACCAATAAATTTTGGTTAATTTGTCATAATTTAATTTCAGGTTTGAGGGAGAAAAGAAGAAAAGAATTTTTATTTTTCTAAATTTTTATAAAAAATCTTGAATATATTTTCTTTTAGTAATTTGACGAGTTTCTGTTTATTTTTAATAAAATTTGTATATGTGTAAAGCTAAGAGTAAGCTAGACAAAGCTCTTTTAGTAACAAGAGTTGTTGTCTTAGTAAAATTTGAAGATAATAATAAAAGTATTATATTAATTATTTAATTGCTGATCTATTAGTGAATCAGATCATATGATCAAAATCCAATATAAAATTATCATGCTAATTAATATTAGTAAAAATATATTGCTACCTGAATCTTTATATCCAACCTTATGTCAACTCAAAATTATAAAAGACAACTGTTGGCTCCTGGTATTGTAGTTCAAAAACTACATTATAGACCTTTTGCTGTAAATTGGTGGGTTTTTCCAAAAGCAAAAACAGTTCAAAATAAAAAAGGTATTTCAATTCGTGTTAATATGAGGGTTAAATTTGAGCTTAACCAAGAAGAATTTATAATTCGAGTAGTTGACAATAATTAGAAACCTGGTTATATATGCGAGTTAGACTCAGAAGCTATAATTTACTCGACATCTAGTGTGGCAATAAATATGACTTATAATAAATTTTTCAAGGCAAAAACACATTTTTTCAGTCCAGGTGTTTTAGGTTTTGATAATAAAGTAATAGCAGAATAATTACAGGCAGAAGTTTTATTTTTTCCATTTCAAATTATTGTTCATAGTATCATGATTTTTGTAATAGCACTAGGAAATTCAGATTAAGTAGAATGGAATTTTGCAGGCCCTGGTTATTATTCGTCTTTTTTTCATAAATATCATAAACAATACACTTTAATATGCCAATTAATAACGAATACTGAATGTAGGATAGATATATATCATCGAGAAAACAAAATTCAAACTTATACTAGAAAATCTCCGGATGATGTTTGGACAAAATTAGATATTTTGAAAAATTATAATGGCAAGAATTTATTTAGACTATGTGATCAACTTGTTATACAAGCTATTCAAACTTATATAACTGCACTATATTGTAAAGCATGTGATTAGAATAATATTGAAATAATGACATATACTTTTAAAAAGCTTTTAAAAAGGAGAATATCAGTTGTTAATTTAGACTGGTATCAGTTTTTCATTAGATGGAGGCAACAATCAACTACTATTATCGAATTTTCCTCTCATCTTGCTTCTATATATCCAGCAGATTTTAAATTTATCAACACGATTTTAGGAGTATGGTGATCAATAATGCGATATGTTGGATGTACTAATATAATACTATATAAAAGGAAGAAATCGAATGTGAGTTATTAATTACTAAATTATTTATATCATCATTAACACAAACTAACAATCTATCTTATATAATAGCTTGAGTTTTGGACATGCGCAGAAGATCCGTCAAGTGATCATACATCAATATTTTACTTATACACCAAAAATCTTTTAAATAGTGTTCCATATAATCTATTAGAAACAGAATTATCGATAATAAAGCAGGATCTTCAAAATAAAGTCAATCAGTTTTGGAGCTGTTTTGATACTTCTATTAAAATGAACAAGTGTGGTGTAAATAGGAAGCAAAGGATATTATTAATAATTGCCAACAATTTTAAACAGTATGAAATACAAGAAAAACTAAAGGTAAGTTCAAAAAAAGTTATAACAATTTTTAGTATTAACCATTTTTGCTAATAATAGACTAAATTTTTTAAATTTCAAATGACTTGATGGATGCTGCAAAAGAATATTTCCGAATTAATGGACCTGGTTGTATTGCTCTAAACAAACCAATAGTAACTCGAAGTCAAATATCAGATGTCAAAGATTGGAAGTTCAAAGCATTTTTTGCTGATAAAGACAATGTTTCTATGAGCTCTTATAAAGTTCATTCAAAAACCAATCTTCCAATTCTTTACCTAAAAGACAATAAAGAAGCACTCTGGAAAAAGTATGAAGTGACTTATCCGAATGGAATCAAATGAACTTCATTTATAGTATGATTGGCAAATGGACAATATGTTTATCAAAATGATCTAGGAGGTTTATGCAGTATTTGTAATGAATATTTTTATGAGGTTTTTGATATATTGATTAGTTTAATTCGATTAAACATTGCAAGTCAAGAAAAAAAAGTAGCTATATTTTATATATGTATTATATTTTTTTTAAAAGTAAAAATTTTATTTATAATATCTGCATTATACAGAATGAATTAATTGCAGAATTAGAAAAACTACGTATTCACTTAAGAAGAGGATTTGAAAAAGAAATTATTGTAAATCAGGATAGTACAACAATGCATGTTAACACAATTAATCACTGTTTACTTTATGCCTTTGGCGAATACTATGAACAATATACTAATCAATGTACTACATGCGATCAGCTGTTTAGATTTATTCAATATCTTATGACAAATCTCAAGGAATATCATCCAACTATTGAAGAATGTCAGGACAAATTATATTACTTTTTAGCACATCAGGCGAGAAAGATCTATTTAAATAGTCAATTTAAAGCTAGGCTTGCAAAGTTAGACAACAATAGAGCAATTTTAGTATGTGATTATAAGATATGTATTTTACCTAAGAGTGCACAAGAAACAAAAGAACAATTCTTTAAAAAGCGGGGGTGGAGTTTATATACAATTTTAGTATTTACCAAATATAATACTGATCAACTTAATGTTCAAGTATTTGATTACTGGAGCACTGACACTAAACAAGACACATAGTTTACTCTTTCATTATTTGATTCCATTTTTGAAACTCTTAACCCTAGACCACAATGGATTGAAATATTATCAGATAATGGTGCACATTACCATAACTTTGAATTGATTGTTACAGTTTCTAACTGGTATCAGTGGTATAATATTGAGGTTCGAAGTTGGTATTTTCTTGAACCCGAAGAGGCCAAAATGATTGTTGACTCTTACTATGCACAAGTAAGTTTTAAAATTATATCTATAGTCAGACCTCTCTAGGTAAACACCCTCAGGACCATACTTTAACAATATGCATTTAGAGAATAATAAGAGAAAATACATTTATAGAGATCAAGTATATAGTTTGAGTATGTATTTGGGGAGGGTATGCACTTATAGAGGGTGTACTTAGAAAGGTCAAACTATATAAATATATATATGTATTGTATTTTACTAAATAATTTTGATTTACATATTAGATTACGCATGCTATAAAAAGATATATTCGTATTGAATATAATTTAGATGAAGGTGAAAAAATACAAGCCACAATATCTGATTTAAAAAGAACTTCAGTTGCGAATATAGAACCTGTATGCAATAATCATAATATTAAAACAATTGCTAGTATTACTCAATTGTTTTACTTCGAATGACCAATTAATAGTGATTATACTGGCTATATACGAGCTCGATATTTACTACATATTGGATCATAGTCACAGTTCTCACCTTTCGAAATATCAAAACTAACTATGATATCTATTAACAAACCAACACCTAATATTACTGCTCATTCAATTCCAAAAAATCCGTGGAGTTTTCCATTATCTTGAGGTCACGGTAAGAATTGAAATTATTTTTTATTTTTATTATCCTATTGATTATATATTATACAAATATTTAGATATGAGTAAACAAGAACAATATAATAATCCAACCCATTTACTATTAGGTATATACAGTATAGTATAATAGGAAATTATAATTGAATCTATTTTTGATTGTCTAATATTGTTATATAGATATATAAGAAGTATTTGAATTAAATAAAGGTTAGACATTGAAGAGTAATCAGAAATATAGAAAAAGAGGAGCAGGAAAACGGATGACAAATACAGTAAAATCCTATTTTAAAAGTTATTTTTTAGCAGGTAATATGAATAAAACAGACCGAATGACTGCAAAGGATATGGTAGAACAACTTCAAATTCTTGCTAGAGAAGGTGAAATTCAAGTTGAGGACATTCCTGATGTATTTAAAGTCACAAATTGGATTGCACGGTATGCAGCAAGTCTAAAGCAACATACAGCAGAGACTGCAATTGAAAAAAATAACTTTATTAGAAATTTTAAAAGTAATTTTCAAGAAGCAAA